CCAGCCTGGCAGCTTCACCTGGTAACACAGAAGCGGGACATGGCAAGATGCTAGCAGGGCCTGCCCAGAGGGGGTCTATTGCCCAGAGGCTGGGCTCTGGGTTTGAGGCCAGGGTCACTGGCAAAAATCCAGTCTTATGGCCACTTAGGTCCCGAGCCCATCAACGAGGCACGGGGGAACAGGCCTCAGCAAAATGACCAGGGGTGCCTGCGTCTCAGGCACACGTCAGAAGCCCGGTCATCGGGACGACGGCACCAAATCAGAGAGCTGGTCACATCCTCACAAAACCGAAGTGTCACCGGGGCCAGGCAGCTGCCCCAGCCTGCAGGGGGTCTCAGTATGTGACCAGGGAGAGAGGGAGTTATGCCGATTGGAGGGACATGCCTTCTCCAAAGGCGTTCGACTTGTAAAACTGTTGAAAACACACTGCTAGTTGGAACACCTTGACCTGGAGAGAGGGATTTCAGAGGCTGGAGCTTGACAGTTATCCTCGCTGCATGGGATGTCGTGAGCGGCTGTCTGGACAGGTGTGGACGGGCCATCTCAAAAGGCGGTGCCTTCTGGTTAGGTTCTGGCCACAGAAACTTGTGTCTTCCTTAACTCCAACCTCAGCATCTTTGACCTCTATCTTGGAGGTCATCTGACTTGAGAATCTAGAGCCTCCTGTATCCAGGTCATACGGGAGCAGGTTTTTCTGTGTGCTTCTCACTTGGCAGGTAAGTCAACCAGCCCCCTGGGGGACCTGGAACACAGCCTGGATGGCTTTAAAGTTCCCTGTCAGTGCTTATTTTTAAAACGCACGTAACATTTGCATGCTACCTTTAATGTAGAACTATTGTTCACTGTGTGTAAGTTAAATGAACGCTCAGATGCACCAGCTTTCTCCTGACTTGCCTAGCGCTGGGGTGGAACCTTGCATCCCCAGAGGCACGTGCAGTCTTGTCAGCGGCAAGTGGAGCCGTAGGATGGCTTCCAGGATGCACGCTGGGACCCGGCCAGCCCTCGTGTCCAGGCCGCGCATCTCCCCTTCTCAATCCGGGTTCCAGCAGCAGTACACTTCCGCCTTCTTGCACAAACTGGTCCTTTTGCAAATGCTATTTATTTCCTTCTATTTGCTGGGATGTCCTCCTCCCAGTGTCTCATGAAAGCTAAGTGTTCAATATGTATTTTGCTCAATGAAGAAATGATCATTTTCATTTTTTTAGTCTATCGGGATCCCACAAAAGGAGACTGCCTCTCGGGAGGATGGGTTTAGCACCACATCCAAAACCATAACAGCACCTTTTCACAGGATAAGAAAGGAGTTGATAATCGACGGTCTGCCCCTTAACCAGGCTATTTCCTCATAGGAAAGATTCTTATAAAGAAACTTAGTAACTGGAGGCTGTTGATGAAAATTAAGGGATTTTTAAGGCAGTGAAAATACTCTGCGTGATACTAGAATGGTGGATACGTGTCATGATAACATCTGTCCAGACCCAGAGAATGTAAAACACCGTGACTGAACCCTGATGTAAGCCATGGACTTTGGGTGATGATGACGTGTCAGTGTAGGTTCATCGATTAGAACAGAGGTACCACTCTGGCGGGGGAGGTGGATAACGGGGCAGGTTGGGTGTATATAGGGGCAGGGGGTATATGGGAAATATTGCTGCTTTCCTCTCAATTTTGCTGTGAACTTAAAACTGCTCTGAAAAATAAAGTCTTCTAAAAAACAGTATCCTTTAAGTGAAAATGTAAATCAAGTTAAACCAAGCCTATTATTTGGAGAATGGTCCTCTTCTGGCAGTATCCCCAGCATCAAAACTGCCCTTTCCAGCTTCACCCCCTTCACACACTGGTGCTGGAGAAGAACCAGCTTCCTTCAGGCCCTGGAGCCACGAGCTCACAGGGAGCAGGGTTCAGGCCACGGGGCCTTGCTGAAGCTGCAAGCCAACCACACACCTGCTTTCTCTGTAGGGAGCGTGGCCAGCACCTTGATGGGCAGGGGATGGAGGACAGACCAGGGTTGGGCTCGCTCACCCCTCCCCTCCCCTTCATCTCGGAACAGGTGAACTCTCTCCAGAAGGGATTTGGAGGACGATACCTGTGCCGTGGGAGTCCTGTGTTGTTTTACAAGGCCGGGAACCTGCAAATCCATGCACGGTTGTAAACTTGGCTATTATAAATGGGGTCTGACCGCCCACAGAGGCAGGACTGAACATTGAGAGAGATTTCCTCTCTCCTGCGAGGGAAATGCTTGCCTTCTCCTGTCCTGGGCCCCTCGGGCTCGCATGCCAACTGGACGTGAGTTAATTTACCACATCAGAATGACACGGACCCAAATCTCGAGTGCTTGACGCCATTGATGAAGCTCCCTTTTGGCAAAGGGCATTTTCTCTTCAAAGCCTTTCTCTTTACTTGTCCCCCAGTTAGAGTGATGGGACCAGCGGTCTCCTGGCAGTGGCCCTGAGCAGTGCTGGTAGCACCCTTCCTAAAAGGGCACCAGAGCTTCTTCCTTAAGAAAGTTCCAGAACACCCGTTCCCATGTCTCATCTAAGAACATACTGAGACTTTTACTTACATTTCTAAATCCAAAGGAAACTTTAAAACAAGAGAGAAAGAAAAATCACTGTCGTATGCAGAATGGAATCATCAGACTCCAAGTACTAATGTGTTTTCCTTGTGAGAATCTTTCATGTTTGGAAAGGTAGTTAAGGTGCTGACTGTAAATTATAAACGACTTGCTTATCCTGCGGAAAGGTGGACATGTTCTCTGATAAAATGGAAGAGAGAAACCACACTGATAAACGATTAGTAGATCTGGTTTCAGCAAGGGTCAGGAATGTGACTTGGGCCCACTCTTGTATTATTGAAGAGCAGGACACATAAAACCAATTCCCAAAGCAAGAAGCTGCAGCGTCAGCAAGTTGCAAGCCGCTAAGGGAGCCCACAGGTTGCTGCGGGAAACCCTTGGGGAAGGGATGAGTATTTACCTCTTAGAAAAGAGAAAAGTATTTTAATACTTAATCTCTACAGCTGAACCTATTCTCACAGCCGCATTGCAAAATGGCACAGTGATAACTTCTACTCTGAAAGAAAAAGAAAATTAAAATTGGAAGAATGTGTTCAGCTTGAAAACATTTTTCAAAATAATATTTTTAATTTACAAGTGGGCATTCTATCTCTCCTCATGCACTTGTAAGATCGGACCTGTGTATTATTTAAGACACGACCCATGAGTCCATTTTCTTAAAAGATATGTAACTAGACAAAGAAGCCATGGTTTCACAGGTGTATACTTAGCCACAAACTCAAGCTGTACACATGAAATATGGACAGTTTTTATATGTTAATCACACTTCACTAAAGTGTTTATTTATAAATGTAACTAGAAATTGGGCCAAAAATATAAGAATGGTGAGTCAACTGTAATACAGTCACTAATAAAATTACACTCGTCTATTAAAGTAGTTTGTAAACCTATGCTAATATGGCCTGCTTCTCAAGTTAAAGTTAAGTGGGAAAAGCGTATTTAGAACAAAGACACTTTAGAAACCTGAATATCTCTTGCGTGAACCCTGCCCACAGGAGCTACTGCCTTCTGTGGGCGCTAGGCCACAGGGATCAAGGTAAGTCCTAACTTTGGGGTCCAGAGCCTTCTGCTGGTGGGGTGGTGGCCACAAGGAGAAGCCCCACAGAGGAGCACACCCTGGTGCACCCTGCTGGGAACACTCTGGAAAGCTGCTTGGCACCCCTTTTAGAGTTGAAGATGTTGTATCCTAGGTACATCTCAATGCCTGGAGAAACATTCCTTAACTTTTTGTACACACAGCCCATAAAATAATTTTTAAAACGTATGTACCCCTTTGCCAGTAAATTGTCACCTGGAATTTTCCTCATAAAATTTAATAGTTGCAAAGGATGTAATATCAGGTAGAATCAGAATACTAAGATTTTAACATAAAACTGTTGTATCACTATTTTCAATGCACCCACAAGAATAGAAACACCCAGAGTGATGTGATTTCCACCATTATCCATTTTTAAAAGACTCGAGCAAACTTTTTTTAAGATTTAAATATTTCATATCATTTCTTACCTTCCTTGGCTTCCTAGAAATACGACTCCCACTCACTCCTGCCTCAGAATTATACAAAACTATTTTTATGCTTGAATGTTTTTATAATTGATCACTCTATCATATTCTGCACAATAAAATGTCTAAACATGTAAATGGAATTGTTTTCTGTGATTTTGTTAAAACTTTTTATTATGGATTGAGCTACTAACAGTAGTGTGGAATTGCTCAAACAGTATAATTACGATCTATTTTGATAAGTATCAAACATCAAGTTAGAAATTCTATCGGTAATAACACCCTTCATACTCTTAGTGGAGTATTACCAGTGCTTCCATCCTGCCTCTTACGGCTGGGAAGGGACGGGAAGAAGAACCAGCATGTGAGCTCGGCCACAGGTACCTTCGCAGGCAGATCAGCTCCAAATGAGGGTGTGGGTGGGAATCGAGGGTCTGGAAATTGATTCCCATCAGTGTCAACTCCACGGATCGGATTTTATTCCTTAATCTAAACCTGCATTGTTTCCATTCGGAAGATTGATAACTGACGGTACTCATACTTCCGAGAGTCAGTCCGCAAGTGGACCCGAGGATGGTCACTCGGGGGGCTGCCCCCGGGCTGTGCAACTTCAGGGCCAAGGATGCCGGCCCCACCTGTGGTGGTGGTCACCTACTCGGAGGTGCTTATGGGCCTGAGAGCCCCCTTCCTTCTGAGCCCACCTCTAACGGGAGTGAGCTGCAGTCCTAAGGATGAGGGTGTGCGTGGTGGCCCAGCTGGCATGCAGCCGGGCCACCTGCGACACTGCAGGTTGTCTCTAGGCCCAGATTTACACCCCAAGGCCCTGGTCCAGCCCAACGCGGGAGGATGCGCCCACTACTCAGGTCTCGGTGGATCTGCAAACTGGACGGCAGAGCCCTCCTCGCCGCGCCCAGGCCCTTACCTCCCGTTGACCACACTCTTCTTCTCCAGCCCGCTAGGCAGCACCACAGTCATGGCCACCACCCTGCCGTCCAGCGTCTCCTTCTGGCTGAGCAGGTTCTGCGGGGGGCTGGGGGACGCATCGCGGGAAGGTCTCTGTCCTCTGTGCACGTTGGGGGTGGTGGGCCCCCCGGGAGGGGGCGGAGCACGAGCCTTCATCTTCCTCCTTGAAAGGTGAGAACAAGAAGGACTGAATGAGGTGGCAGCTTCCAACCCAAAGTTAGCAAATCACTTGTCGATGGCCAGCAGCTCCTAAGGACCTTTCCTCCTAATTGTCCAGTCTTATAAGTGCTTAAGGCCTTCTGAGTTGCACAAACTTTTAAAAATCAGTATATTACAACAAGGACCTACTGCATAGCACTGGGAACTATATTCAGTATCTTGTAATAACCTAAAATGGAAAAGAATCTGAAAAAGAATATATATATATATATATATATATATACACACACATATACGTGTATGTGTGTGTATAACTGAATCACTTTGCTGTACACCTGAAACATTGTAAATCAACTCTACTTCAATTAAAAAAATCAATATATTAGCACTCTTCAACATAGAGAAAATGGACAACTAAGAAAAGTAGAGGATGCATCATTTTTTTTAATTGAAGTAGAGTTGATTTACGATGTTGCGTTAATTTCTGCTGTACAGCAAAGTGATTCAGTGATATGTATATATACATTCCTTTTTTATATTCTTTCCATTATGGTTTATCACAAGATATTGAATATCGTTCCCTGTGCTATGCAATAGGACCTTGCTGTTGATCTATTCTATATATAAAAGCTTGCATCTGCTAATCCCAAACTCCCACTCCATCCCTCCCCCACCCCCTCCCCCTCAGCAACCGCCAGTCTATGGTCTATGGAGGACGCATTTTTGAAAGTAAGTGTTCCTGGAAAGAAACAGCCTAAAATGTGTTCCCCTCCTGGGAGTGGCCTGGGGCAGCAGAGTTTGCTTGGACCAGTCCTTTCTGAACCATTGACTGGGTTACAAATCCCAGCTAATTAAGGGGTCTGCATTGCTCTAGCTGAAACCGCTGGATCCACAACCAGCTGAGAATCTGGAGCCCATGGGTCCACGGTATTGAGGACGTGCAGGACTACATCAGGAGGCATTAAATAAGCCGGAAAATCCACCTGACCAACACCCGCAGACACGGGCGCTGTGGACGGAGGTGGCAGTTTAGTGGCAGGGGCTACAAGTGATGGTATTTTAACACGACACCTGCTCCCCCTCTGTTTTCACCTTATTTCCGACTGTGCTTTGAATTCTCAATTCACCTTGTAGATTTCTAAACACCTGTCAATAAATCACCCACTCTGACAAACATTTTTAGAAATTCTTGTCTCCTCCACATTATTCAGGGGAGGCAACGGACCTTACTTTGTGTAGGTGTTTTATTTTATATTTAGGTACATAGGTGTTTTATGTACGAGTACATATATGTATATGTATGTGCATGTGATGTGTATGTTTATGTGTATGTATATACATGCACACATTTATTTATATGTTTCTTATTTATATATAAGAATCTTATTTTACAGAGGCCCTGGGCATTATATAACAAGAACTGGCATTTACTCAGCATCAGGACCTATGCTAATAATACGCTTAGGAAGCTCACTTCATTGAAAATATTTTGCAGTTGAGAACACTGAGTGTCAGTAAGATCCTAGCTCCCCCGAAGCCCGGAGCAGGGATGCAGAACAGGTGTGTCTGGCTCCCAGGGCCTTGCTCCTCCCCACCTTGCTGTGCTCCCGCCTGCCCTCTTCCAGAGCGAGGAGCCACAGAGAGGCCACGTGAGCCCTCAACGTTGAACTTCTCCTGCAGAGCAATGTGCTGGGGCACTCTGGCCCAAAGCATCAGACACCAGAATTCCATTTCTAGGAATTTATCCTAAAGAAACAATCCCACAGGAATGCATTGTGGGAGGTTCAAAGATACTCAGTACAATGCAATTTATAATGGCAAACGTATGTAAGATATTCTAACCACAGGTCAGAAAGAGAGAATTTCAATAAATGATGGTACTAAAACAATGTTATACCAGTACTGGTTAAATACACTTTTTAAAAGCAATTTTTATTTTATATTTGACTATAGTTCATTTACAATGCTGTATTGGTTTCAGGTATACAGGAAAGTGTTTCAGTTATACATATATATATATATATATTATTTTTCAAATTCTTTTCCTATTTAGGTTATTAAGAAGAATCGATATTGTCAAAATGATTATACTACCCAAGGCAACCTACAGATGCAATGCAATCCCTATCAAATTACCAGTGGCATTTTTCACAGAACTATAACAAATAATTTTAAAATTTGTATGGAGACACAAAAGACCTCAAATAGCCAAAGCAATCTTGAGAAAGAAAAACAGAGCTGGAGGAATCAGGTTCTCTGACCTCAGACTATACTACAAAGCTCAGTAATCAAAACAGTATGGGGCTTCCCTGGTGGCGCAGTGGTTAAGAATCCGCCTGCCAATGCAGGGGACACGGGTTTGAGCCCTGGTCCGGGAAGATCCCACATGCCGCAGAGCAACTAAGCCCGTGCACTACAACTACTGAGCCTGTGCTCCAGAGCCCGAGAGCCACAACTCCCGAAGCCCGGGTGCCTAGAGCCCGGGCGCCTAGAGCCTGTGCTCTGCAGCAAGAGAAGCCACCACAATGAGAAGCCCACGCACCACAAGGAAGAGTAGCCCTCGCTTGCCTCAACTAGAGAAAGCCCACGCGCAGCAAGGAAGACCCAAGGCAGCCAAAAGTAAATAAATAAAATTAAAAAAAAAAAAACAAAACAAAAACAGTATGGTACTGGCACAAAAAAACAGAAATATAGACCAATGGAACAGGATAGAAAGCCCAGAAATAAACCCACACACCTATGGTCAATTAATCTACAACAAAGGAGGCAAGACTATACAATGGAGAAAAGACAGTCTCTTCAATAAATGGTGCTGGAAAAACTGGACAGCTACATGTAAAAGAATAAATATATTTTAAATGTATATAAGCTGATGTTCCAAAATGCTCAATACAGACATTTTAAGAAAACAAACTTTGAAATATTATTTGTTTTGAGAAATACCGTTTATAAGAGAAGTATGCATTATAGCAATAGATCACAAAATAGTCTAGAAAGACAAGGCAAAGAATTAGTAACAATGATCTCTGGGTGATGGGTACCATGACATTTTTTTTGCTATTTTCACTTCTATGCATTTCCTAATTTTTTCTATAATATCACCTCTCTATGCATTAGTTGTAAAATGAAAGAGGTCATTTAAAGTGGGGAAAAACAGCAAATAGGGTTCAGATGAGGCCTCAAACCATCACTGTTCACTTCACTGGCCAACACAAGACTTAGGAATGACACCTGGGTTTCATCCTCTACCCTGATAAGTAGACATAAATTAATTCTTTTTTTCTTATTAAAAACCTTATACCTACATCATATTTTTTATAATTTTTATGCTTTATTCTTATTCATTATATATTTTTTCCTTTAAACTTATAGAAATAAAGATGAAGTAGGAAATATATATTGCACTGGTCTAAGGACTGTGTAGTATTAATTCATTTATTCCTCACAGTAACACTGTGAGGAGGGACTGCCATTCCCGTTTTATAGATAAGGAGTCTGGGCACACCTTTCTCAGATTACAGACAATTTGTTTCCAGAGCCTGAAGTTTTAACCAGTGCATCCTTCAACCTCTATTAGGAAGACCAGATATCAGCCCATTATACAGATGGAAAAGTCAAGGCAAAGAGACTGGTTATGTGTTCCGTCATTAATCAACCATAGGTCTCGGCTAGAAGCCCAGTCTCTGAGCAGTCCACCTGCCATTAGCATTACCTCCCAGAAGCACTTTCAGGAAAAAAATCATTTTTAGGAAATAAATATACTTTCCAAGTAAACTACATTTTATTTCTGGGTACTAATAAAGCTGGCTTTACAATGGAATATTACTCAGCCATAAAAAAGAATGAAATAATGCCATTTGCAGCAACATGGATGAACCTAGAAATTATCATACTAAGTGAAGTAAGTCAGACAAAGACAAATATCATATGATATCACTTCTATGTGGAATCTAAAATATGATGCAAATGAACTTATCTATGAAACAGAAACAGACTGACAGACAGAGAACAGTCTTGTGGTTACCAAAGGGGAAAGGTGAGGGGGAGGGGTAAATTAGGAGGTTGGGATTAACATATACACACTAATATATATAAATAGATAAACAACAAGGATTTACTGTATAGCACAGGGAACTATACTCAGTACTCTGCAATAACCTAAATGAGAAAAGAATCTGAAAAAGAATAGATATATGTATATATATAACTGAATCACTTTGCTGTACACCTGAAACTAACACAAGATTGTAAATCAACTATATCCCAATAAAAAAAGAAAAAAAGCTGGCTTGAAGGCTTGAACTCCTTCAGAACACGCTGAATAGAAAAGGAGGCATTTGTGCATTCAGCCAGCCCTGCGATGGGGGCAAAAGAGGCAGAAGAAATGTCTACTGCCCCAGATTTCTCCAAATAAATGCTGTCCCCACCACCCAGAGTCAGCTTTGGGACACAGTTTCCATCCCCACCTCCTCCCCATGTCTACTGCTGCACCCCCAAGCCCTCATCACTAACGTCTGCACAAATGCAGTCTCTTCCTACACCCCAGCCTCCTGCCACCCAATCCTACTGTGACCCCCTCATTCCACAAACACGCACTGAGCGCCACCATGGATGCCCTTCATCTTCTTACGCTTTGCTCTGTACATACATCCCCGGCCACACAGAGACCAAGACGCTCCCTGCGGCCACACAGAAACCACGATGCTCCCTGCGGGCTGCACGGATGCCCAGGAAGGCTTCTGTGGGTCCAGTGCTGTGTCATGTGCACGTGTGTGAGTGCACATGTGTGCATGTGTCAGTTGGCCAACACTGAAAAAACTAGAATGTTTCACAAGAACACAATGAATTTCTGGCTTTTTTTGAAAAAATTAAAAATCAAAGATCTGATTGGGCTCTGAACACCTTCACAGCAAAACCCAGCTGTGTGTGGCCATCTGGACCCGTAGACTCCGGGCCATCACACACCTGTCCCCTTTGCAGCTGTCACAACATCCAAACCACAGC